AACAACAAGTAAAGTGGAAAAACTTATATTTTTAAATGTCAATTTAGACGATTCGCGATTTAATAATAATGTGTAATGTAAATGTAAGTACTATTAACTATTTGTATCGTTTAATTTATTTTTCAAGTTATAATAAATATATCCTTCGTTAGTTGCTTTTACTTCAATACATATACACATAAACGATAATAGCCTATGTACTTGTATATGAACTCGCTTATTTGAAACTACTGTTAAACAATCAAGTAGTTGAATAATTTAACTAGTTACTTGTTTATGAAAAACGGTTCAGTTTCGTTAACAATAAAAACGTACATGACCCACCTCTAAAATACATAGCATAGCCTTCAACCTGTCTCCCATCCATCCATCCTATTGAAGAGGATGGATGAATGGCGATGTTGCCAAAATTATCTTGTTTTATTGTAAATTAGGTTACAATTTCGTCAAATAATAATGCGAATCTGTAAATTTCTCATGAATTTAAGAAATTTTGTACCAGTATTTTTGTCATTTTGTTTTTAATATCCAGTTTTGAGTGGCAATATAACTGCGTCATTGATCGCAAATTTTTTGAATCAATTCAATGTTTTAATTAAAATATGTAATAGCCGCTGTTTCTTAGGTATAAGTTGGATCAGAAATAATCGTCTCACTAATGGGCGTCTATGAGAAATGTGTAAGACCAAGGGGAAATATGATTGTTATCTTTGTCTATTCGCTGAAAATATGATTTCATATCTCTGTTAGATATCCTGTTAAATTCTTAAATACGGACCATAAACTTTTACCTACACTGTATAATTAAAATTTATTTGGTTACTTTGAACGTAACATCTAATAAACTGCCACAACCCCCAACTGAAGTATGTACTTTGAACAATTGTTGATCCAGGAGAAGTGGATGAACAACAACGGCACATCTTTACTTTACGAAGTCTATGTTTATTGGGATTTTTCAATTGAAGCTAAAAGTGTATTCTTGCAGTCACAGAAATTAAAGTACAACCCAGAGGTACTTTTCAGTGCGTCATTAATTATGACGTCATATGATGAATTAGGTGTGTCGAGCATTATTTCATATAATAATTGAAGAATTTGACAGATTCCAGGATCGTACTTAGCCACAGGGAGTAATCCCGTATATTAATAAAAATAAAAAGTAAACAATATTGTTTATTAAATTTATAAATATGGAAACATTCGAAATTGACGACAAAATGATTCATTTATTGAATTTTTGTATCTTCTTCTTCTCAAGGGGCTGTCTGCGCGTCGAAAGTTGGCAATCATCACAGCGATTTTTAATTTTGAGACAGCGGCTCTAAATGAGCCGTTATTACATGGGTTACGTCTCCTTTATTCCATCTATACATGAGATCTCTAGTACTCTTCGGTACATACACATCTCGAATGCCTTCAGTCTCCTCACGTGAATTTTCTTCAGTGTCCACGCTTCCATCCAGCACGTAGCACCTCAGCAGTCGTATTTTAACTTAAGGTTTAAGTTTCTACAGCAGATAAGCCTTTGTATTCTTGTAAATGCGCTTCTGGCCTGTTTGATTCTGATTCGTATTTCTTGAGAGCTGTCATTGTTTTCATTAATAGTTGTATCTATGTATTTGAATTCTCTTACTATTTCAATAGGCTGATTTTGTACATATATCTCACGAATGTCCTGAGTTGTCTTTGTTATTATCATATATTTCTTGCTCTGTTGAGTGACGGTCTATATTCTTCTTCGCTTACTGCGGTCACCTAATTAAGAAGTATCTGTAGGTCTTCATGTGATTCGGCTAAAAGAACTGTATCATCAGCGTATCTCAGGTTATTTATGATCATGTCATTAATTCTAATGTCTACGTTTCGCTATTCCATTGCCTTACTTAATATGTCTTCCGAGTATACATATTAAATAATACTGGTGTATGTAGACACCCTTGTCGAACAACTCTTTGTACTTCCATTTCTTCTGATGTTATTTCTTCTATTCTCACTACTGCTTTTTGGTCATAGTATAAGTAACACAAAAAGACTGTTTACAAAAATTTATTAGGTAACTTCTAAATTAATTAGATAAATAAAATATAATTCTAATCATAAAAACTATTTATTCACTAATGTGAAATAATAATAGTTTATTGACAACACCGAAAAGTAGAATTTGAATATCAGTGTAATAGAAAATTATAGAAAAATGCTGCTAGTGGAGAGTTTCCTTAAAGATATATCCTTAGACAAATTCATGGTGAAATATTTCGGTCATAACCCAGCAAAACATTAATTAGAGAGGAGCCAGTCAGATTTGTATATAAGAATTGGATGATAACTGGTTCCACTGGGTATGATTATGGTTTTCACGTTTGTTGCGAAAAAAAAAAAAACGAATGATATTGAAGATAATAAAAAAATACCACTTGGAGGTAAAGTAGTAATTGATCTTTTGAAATATAGGCCTAAACCATCTAGAAATGAAATTAGATCAGGTCATTGGATGAGGACCTAGGAGTTTCCTGTGTTTACAACGTTTTGAGCAGAGATAAGTATTTATAAATAACAAAGTTTGTTCATCTAGCCGATAATGTCAAAATAGGCGATTCTACAGTTTGTATGTACAAAATTAGACTTTTAGCAGATAAAATTATAGAAAAATACTGCCATTGGGGATGTTTCCATAAAGATATTTCCTTAGACAAATCCATGGTCAAACATTTTGGTCATAACCTAGCTAAACAGTTAATTAGAGGTCAGTCAAATGTGAATATAAGAATGGGATGATAACCGGGGATGATAACCGGTTCCATTGGATATGATTATAGTTTTCACGTTTGTTGCCGAAAAAATAAAATGGTACTATTAAAAAAGACCACCTGGAGCTAAAATAGTAATTGATATTTTAAACTAGTTGCCTGAACCGTCTAGAAATGAAATTAGATCAGGTCATTTAATGAGGACCTAGGAGTTTCCTGTGTGTACAACGCTTTAAGCAGAGAGAAGTATTTATAAATAAGTTTGTTCATCTAGCGGATAATGTCAAAATAGGCAATTCTACAGTTTGTATGTACAAAATTAGACTTTTAGCAGATAAAATTATAGAAAAATACTGCCAGGGGGGATGTTTCCATAAATACATTTCCTTAGACAACTCCATTTGCCGGAGTATAGCCATACAGTTGCCATACATGGCTCCATGTTGCCAGAGAAACAGAAGTATAGTAGTTATTAGGCTTATGATTTTTCGTTTTAGGATTACTACACTCAAAATCGCTGCTTTTAGCATCAGAAAATTCTGGTTCGTACTCAGATTTAGACGGGCTGAAACAATTTTGCACTCTGTCTTTACTTTCTGAATTACTAGAACTTTCATCATTTGATTGTAGCTACCTACAAATATTTAATTCACCCATACATATTTTTTCGGCCTCCAATTCCAATTCTAATTGGGTTAAGGGTCTTTTATCGTCAAATTTTTTAGCCAGTTTTAATTAGATTGTCTGTGAATGATACAAGAAAATAATAATACCTAAATAAAAAACTTACGTTAACACTAACCTTTCGTAAAAAATACGAAGCAACTGCGATCTTGCAGTTAACGACTGCACAAAGAAAGGCAACTACACTGTGAATGTACTCGAAAAAAACTGATTAGCGAAGCTACTCCAATACCTACGCTTCATGCAAGGTTGCAAAATCTTAAAAAAATAATCAGCGTAGGTAAATTTTAGAATGGTTAGTGTTCTAGGGTTAAATAAATAAAACTTCTCAGTGCCAAATAGTTTTGAAGTAATTAAGTAAATATAAAATGCTATGATTTCTTTAGATTTAATGCATAGTTTCGTTGAAGATCTACATGCATTCTTACATTCCTCACGCAGAACTTTACAAATTTATGATGTAAGTCATTCTTCAGTCTTGCGTATATTACATAAGAATACATTTAAATCCTACAAAATCCAGTTGTTGCAAGAGTTAAATGAAGATGACTATGACCGTAGATTACAGTTTAGTGAGGTAATGATGAATAAAATTGTAACTGACGAGAACTTCGTGAACACTGGTTACGTGAAAATCATATTCAAAGACCACAAAAACTGAATGTATGGTCGGGTATAGTGGGTACTCAGTTAATTGAGCCGTTTTTATAGAAGTAAATTGAACAAGCGATAATTAGGAAATGCTACTTAGAAATGAAATTGTACCTGCACTGAAAAACAAGTTTGGAGCAAATTTTATTGAGGTAAGGTTTCAGCATTGTTTAGATGAACGATGAACGATGAACTATGTAGTATGGCGTCCCCTTTCACTCAATTTGAATCTTAAAGATTATTTTTATTGGGGGTACTTGAAAAATAGAATTTGTAAAACTAAATCAGCAAGTGTTACAGAGCTAAGGTAAATAATTATCGATGAATTCATGTTAATTTCTAGAGCAATATGGAGAAATGTAATCGACGCATTCTATCATCGTTTCGAATACTGTCAAATTAACAGTGGAGGACATTTTGATCACTTGATTAGTTGATATTACTTTAGTTTGTGTTTTAATTGTTTAGTTTAACAATGTTTTAATTATTATGTTAAAATTAGTTGTACATAATAAAAATAAAAAAAAATTATTGAGACGATTAGACATTTCTTGGCTTTTTTTCTTTTTAACATGTTCCTGACTACATAAAATCGAAAGTGTTGTACACGATTAAACGGGTATTGAAGTGAAGATTAAGGTACAATCTACAGGGCGTTGTATTAAAAAAAACCAAAGTGACTAATAATATCAGAAAAATGGTAAATCTGGCAATATTACAAAGATCAAATATTCAATCTTCATATTGCAAAATAGGTGTATCTTTGTTTTTATTTAATTCGGATAATCCACTTGAGAGATAATTAGGCGTTTCCAGACCTTTGGTCCATTATATCAAACGAACAATACAAACTTTTTTGGCTTGCAAAATTATTAGTTTATGCTGAATTTTTCTTACAAAATTATAAATTTTCAGAGCGAACGAGAAGCAAAATATGCCCTTAAAAAAGAACTGGATCAACAGATTAACCGTGAGTCCTTTTATAACATCAACAACCTCGCTTATCGTATCAGGGGTATAGCAGGAGAGGATCCAGTTAGCAGTGATTGTGAAGATGACCTTCCTGGCCTCAAGCATATTGAAGCTACCATCTGTAGTGAGGTAAGAATGTATCATATTTTATTTTATATGTGCAATAAGTAATATTTATTTTTACTAGGTACAATCACCGGATGGTAAACAGGTTGATTTATTCTCCGAAGTGCATCTTAATGAACTAAGAAAATTGGAAAAGCAGTTGGAGGCTTTAGAAAAAGACAAAATTAGTTTGACGCAAAGTTTAAGGGAAAATCAGGGAATGGTGGAAAAGAGCCAAGGAGAACTGCAGGTAATGATTTAGATTTTGTACAGAAACATTTGAGTAACAATAACTATTCTAACTATTTTTTCTTATTTATCTTCACTAGGTGTTTGTGGCCCGTTTAACCCAATTAGCAGCTCATGTAGATTCCTTGCAACACCTCTCACAAACCGTTGATAAAAACCTCACCAAACCCGCAGAAGAAGCAGCTAGAGCCCTTCAACAATATCAGCAATGGTTCAAGATGTCATCTAAGGAGATAGAACTCCTCAAACGAGATATTAAAGAATTAGAAAATCTTACCAACGTATCTGATGCCACCCTGCAATTAAGAAACGAAATAACAAACTTGAAAAATAAACTGTTTGACACTGAACAAAAGAGTATGGATTTGGACAGTGACCTCAAGTTGTTAAGAGACTTTGCCTGTGAAGCTGGTGCTTCATTAGATGAAAGTCAAAATACATTGCAAGGAGTTTCAGAAGATTTGGCTCAACTTTATCACCATTTGTGCACAATTAATGGCCAAACTCCTTCTAGAGTTATCCTTGATCATGAAAAGGAAGGACTGACACCAAGTAGGTATTTTTTTATATCCGAATTTACTTCTTTATGCTGTATTTTAATTTATCAGTGACAAATCAGATAATTATGAAAATTGTTTTATATGAATTCTGTGATATGACTGATCTTCATGTTGTAATCTCCAAAAGGTGCTAGTAAAAATGTTGTGAGCTCGACCAGTTGGACGACAATTATTAGTGTAATGGGCAATTCTTTTTTGGAGAAAAAAATTGGCACGTGGCACTTGGGGAGTACCGACAGAAGGGAATACTTTTTATAGCGCGTTATTACGATATGCAGGTTAATGAAATTTTATGTCTGATATAATAAAATAACTCTGATGATACCAATATGGCGGTTTTGACAGATATCCCTGACCATTTTTGGAGAGTGACACTGTTATTTTGTGCTCTTGGCGACTATGGGGTAGTTTATGTTGGCATATCAATATATTAAATACTTTTTATTTATAGTGACTGAAACAGCTCCACCCATCGGAGAAATGTCTAAAATAGAATTGTTGAGAAGCAGACTGAAGAATGACATTCCATTGCACGAGTTAGAACCCCTGAATGATACAGCAACCTTATCCAGAAATGTCTTAACCATTGTAGATCAAATAAAACATCTAAGAACTGCCGTTGAAAGTACTATAGAGTTATCTAAAAATAAAAGAGGCACCAACGACGGATCCTACGAATGTAAGTATTAAAAAAGACTTTAATATTAACTATTATGCTTTACTTATGCTTATGCCTTTACTTATATAAACTATTATCTTACTTTCTTAGCTTCTCGTGACGAATCTAGCGAATCGGAGATTCAAGAGCTACAAGAACAGGTGGTGAGGTTAAAGAGTCTTTTATCTACAAAACGTGAACAAATTGCTACTTTGAGAACAGTTTTGAAGTCAAACAAAAACACCGCCGAAGTTGCTCTTACGAATTTGAAGAGTAAATATGAAAACGAAAAAACCATAGTTTCCGAAACTATGATGAAGTTAAGAAACGAATTAAGATTACTTAAAGAAGACGCTGCCACATTTTCAAGTAAGTTTAAATTTATTCTTTTAGTAATCAACCAAAAAAAAAAAAAAAAATATATCAAAACTTTTACAATTAAACATTAAGTATTACCAACTACATTGGCTGTCTCAGAAAACATTTCAAATCATATGTAAAGTCTGGTCCGTCGATATTTCGTCCGTCGGCAAATTCAAAAAGATAATATGTATTTGTATGTTATGAAATTCCAGTAACCGATGTCCAGGGACGTATCGCGGTATTGGTTGTTTCACCGACACAAATTTTTTGATACAAGTGCTAAATCATAAAATAACAATGTGTAATGTGTATATTATACTCAAAGAGCAGAAAATCTGATTTTGGAAAAACCAACAAAATGTTATATTTCTTTGTTTTTTAAATAGTTCAAAGTGGAATGTAAAAAAAATTATCACTCTACTATCCTAGTGGAAAAAATATTAGGTGCTACAACGGCATCTTCTATTGGCGACGTGCAAGTACTTGGATGTGATACGAGAAACGATCGTGCGCGAGTAGCGGAGAAATCTTGCATTTTTTACTGCAAATTTCATAGATTTTATAAATTCATATTGTCAATTGTCATATTTCATATTCGTTGGTTTATTTACACCTTCTGTCACTGAAGAAAATGGGATTTAGGAAATGCTGTGTTATAAATTGTAAAAATACAACAAAAAATTGTCAATTTAACTTTTATTCGTTTCCAACTTCGAAGCACAAATTACTACAAAGAGAAAAGTGGATTTATATCATAAAAAAAGCATAAGTAACATAACCTAAATTATGCATTATTCTTGCGCCCGATTTTAAAGTCAGTTTGAAATAAATAATAAATAAAAGTTCACTTTTAAGTGTAAATTTTAGTTTCATTACACTCACTTAGAGTTCGTTTTAACACAAAAATCAAGTTTAATGTTTAAATTTTATTTTTTTGAAGTTTACAAAAATGCATCAAGTTAAAGTTTTTCTGAAGATGCATTAAGATATATTCGCTGTCCAAAAGTTTACAGGGAAATAATTAATTATTCAAACCAATATAATGATATCGTGGGCTTAACCTGCTAATTTATGCATTAGCATTATTTATGGTAATTTATTTTTCTTAATTCTTCCACATAATTCTTCCATTCTTTTTGAACATTTGCCACTACTAAAGCTTTTCCGTTTGACTCAGTGCTTGGTTGAAAAGTTATTTGGTGATTTACTTTCTCAAATCCAGTTTTTATTATTGCATCCATATTAACAGTAATGCTGTAATTTAATCATATATTCATTTGTATTTACACTACATACAACGTTTACCTTTTAATAACATACCGACATAACCTCAATCTTACTTTTTCTTTTTATTCTTTTTTGGGGCTACGTCCTTGACAGTTATTCAGTAACCTCGATCTAACATGAAAGCGCAGTAAATTTTGCTGATTTACGACACCAGGTGTCGCTGTTCCGAACTTGCACGCTCCCAATAGGGCTTTTCAAAACTTCTCATTTGTTTCAGACACTTGCTATATTTTAATATATAATAATAATAATATATAATTTTAATATATCTACGTCATACGTCTTTGGTATGTATAGTTATTGGTATATACCATATACCAATAACGTATGACGTAGATATATTAAAATTATACGACATATGACAAGTGCCTGAAACATATGAGAATCGTTGAAAAGCCCTACTAGCGTTTAACGATGACATGCATGGACGAAACAGTGGAAAAGTATTTTACCTTTAAGAAAATATTGTTTTAAATAGAGTTAGCAAATTATAATGAAAAACTGAGTTGTTTTAACTGAAATAATCATCATATTAGCGTACCTTGTCTAAAATATTTCTCCTGCAGACGAGCTCTCATCATCACTATCCACCAGATTAATAATAAGTTGTCCACTGTTTGAAAATAATTGTCCTAGTCTTGCGTACTCATTTTCTACTTTGAGTACATGGTTTACTGCTTTTTTCCAGTCGGCACTTGTAATCTCAGATAGTTCATATCGAATTAAATCGATCACTTTCGCGTCAAATTTTGGAAAACTATTTTTCCTCCGAATCCGTGTTTTTACTTGTTCCCAAATAAGTTCGATAGCATAAATATGCAAAAATAATGTGGTAACCTCAAAACATGGCCATGTTGTATTGCCCTAGTGTCTAGTATATATTGTTTCTTATAAGTTTTAGTACGAAGCACTTCAAGTAACTGTTTCCTAATATAGTTGTCTTCAAAATAGAAATCATTATCTGAGAGGAAATCTTTTAGCTCCTGTTTTGAAGACGAACTGTTAGGATTTTTTTGAGAAGTCTTGAGTGGTAGCTAGCATTGTCCATAACTATCGCACTGCCCGGTAGTATGTTTGGAAGTAGTGTATTGTTAGTGTATTTGTCATCTAATCATTTGCAGATCCACAATGCACAATAATCATCCGACAACCTTTATTCGGAGGTACTCCTTTCAACTGGCACCAAGTGAACCATCAGTCCAACCCTTGCTATCGGTATGATGCGTGTCATACCATGTCTCGTCTAAATAATATATAGTCCGCTGTTGGTCTCGATATTCTTGAATTTTTTAAAAATAATCTAAACGCCGTGTACTATCCTCTTACTTTCCATAATAGTCACCCGTTTAACAACGATTTTGTATTTGAACCCAAGTTTTTTCAGCCGTCTACGTAAAGTGGTTTTAGGGCAGCTTCTTCCCGTCGCAATAAGCTTGGTGTATATAATATCAATTGTTGGTATTACAATTTTTTTGTATTCCTCGTAAACCAAATTCTTTAAACATTGAGCAGCCACGATATTAATTTGTTTAGGTTTTCCAGCATTCGATCTTGTTTTTCTCTTTTTAACACCACTTTTCACGATGTCGCGTATGGTAGAATACGGAATTCCTGCCAGAAAGGCCCCTTTTCTTATAATACTGCCTTTACAACTATTTTCAGGATCATTTTGAAGATTTTTGTAAACGTTCATACAAATTCTCTTAGATTGTTCGTTCAAAACAATCCTTTTCTTTGGAAGTCTTAAACACTTTTTTACAATTACACTCTCTGTCATTGTTTTTTGAGTCACTTACACTTAGAATATTGTCGACTACTACACTTTCTCTCCTACTACTTGGGTTCTCTTGCTCCCATGCACGAAAAACTATAGGTGATTTTTCCCATGGCCATTTTTCCTTTTCTCATTCCCAAAAATTTTCTTTATACACAAATAGACAGTTTCAAAAAAACAAACAACAAAAAATACTACAATTATTATAACTACTCACAACAAAATTTCAACACAACTCAAAATTAAGGCAATGTATAGTGCACATCTATCTATAAAGAAGTTAGTTATATATATATATATATATATATATATTATATATATATATATATATATATATATATATAAAGTTTTATTATTATTAAGGTTATATTATTAATAAAATAATCAATAGAGTAAAATTTATTGCACTTAAAATACAGTGTCAAACAGTTAATCTTACAATCAAATGCAGTCAAGAATCTCTAGAAATTTTAAATAATAAGTACTTAAGCATATAAATAACACAATACATTAACACTACATTTAAAAAGATTATTAAAAATACAAAAGATATAAAATTCGTTAAGTAAAAACTTAGTGTAACTATTATGATTAAAAAATTCATCCTAAGAAATCAGACACAATATAAATGTGGTTCTAAATTAATCTAATTGAAAATTAAATATTTTACTATTTACTTATAACTTTTGTTGAATTTTCATACTTATGTATACGAAAGTAGCAATTTTATATAAGTATGAATAGGTTTTTTGTCATATAGACCAAGTTAAAAGAGGTATACATGAAAAATGTGTTGAATGTAACATACCATTTATAACTTGTATATGGATTTAAAATAGCCTATATTCTCAAAAGATTTTTGAATGTAATACTCAAATTTGTTATCACTTATCTAAAAAGCAGATCTATATCGAGAAAGTAAGTTCTCTAATTGTGACCATCTTGTTAATTTACTATATTGTAAAATCCATTTCAAATCATTACTACTTAATCTATTCCTACCTACATTGACGATTACACTAAAATTACTGCTAACTATTACACTACTTATTACACAAATATTATCACACTCGTGTCCCAACTGATTAATGTTTAATACATAGAAATATACACACTCACTTGTAATTTTACTTGTCCAGTTTTTCAATGGGATATTATTGTCTCTTAAAAATAATTCAAATGAATCTATTAAATCATTGTCCAAGAATTCTGTTATCTCTTGTTCCCTCTTCTTATGCAAAAAGTTTCTTCTGTCTTCAGGATTCCTTCTTTCTTTAGTACGATGAACAGTTACATATGATGGTACTTCAGAAAATATATTAGGAACTGCATTGTCTTTTAATTTTTGAAATATTAACTTTTCAATGTGTACATTTCCATCTTTATCTTCTCATTGTTCAGTCCGCTGAATATCATCTTCATGAAAATGTTTGGCACATACTACGGAAGATTTGGTAATTGTATAGCCTTCTCTATGAATAGAGCATAACCCAGTATACCTTCTTTGGGGATCTTTGGGGAACGAAAACGTACTGCCTATTTTGTTTTTAAAGTACTGGCATAATTGGTTTTGCTACCAGGTACACAACAATGCCAGGGCATCTGTAACAAAAAACAAAAGTATTATTATTGTTGTTTTTAGTTTACATATTTTGTAACAAGAAGCAAAGTATTATTATTCTCAGTTTGCTTTGTAGGTTATATTTATACTTGCCTTTTAAATTGTCGTTAAGAATCTTCTAAAAGTTCTAAACTTATTGAAATTTCACTTATAGTAATATTTTCTAATTGATTTAAACACAATTTACAAATAAAACATTCGAATAAAGTTAAAAAAACACTAAATTGAACAAACTTTACAAGCCTTCCCATATGAAATGTTAAACAAAACAAACCACGGTCGGACTACCACGCGTTGTTGCCAAATTTCTACTTCATGGCTTGGAAGTAAAGGTGGCTGTGACTATATCTATTGAGGTTGGCGACCAGTATCGCAAAGTCTTGTCCTTGTCTTGATTATGTCCATAAATCCGTGGTAAAAGAAACTTCAGAGTTTCTAAGAAGTGATTGTAACTTACATTTTATTGTTTCATATTCTTCTGGTAAAACCGACCTTGCTAAAGTTCTTCTAGAAGGTAATATGTTTTTCATACCATGTTTACCAAAGTCTGCACCCAAATTAGTTAATTCTTGGACAAATTTTTATAAAACTCTCACCTAAAAACTTACGTTAGCTGAAAATATCCCAATTTTTTGTGTATTTGCCTGTTTTTTGTACTTGCTCCAAGTCAACCTGTTAAAGAGCTGAGATCTTGTCGATGTTATTAACACTTTTATAGTGCTGTATGCAGTCTTCCATAATTAGTTAATTTTATAAGTTAACTGATTTGGTTTCTTGATTTTTTAAACTTTTTTGAACAACGGCAACGCTTTATTCAATTTAGTTGCCACTATTTTTTTCAGTGCAGAGAGTTTATATTCTTATTCTATTTTCCGCGTATAGTTTAAAATTTGTTTCACAGTATTTCTTAAAAAAATCGGTATAAAGACAGATAAAAATTTATCACACATTTACTTCACACAATGCGCTGTTGCCGAGCCTCCTAATAGTCCTAATTCATTTTAATACCCGAATTTTTTGTAGGTCTTCGTGCGATGTTTGCGGCTCGTTGTGAGGAATACGTCACCCAAGTCGATGAATTACAGCAACAGCTCAGCGCAGCCGAAGACGAGAAGAAAACATTGAATCAACTTCTACGTTTGGCTGTACAACAAAAGCTGAACATCACGCAGCGATTAGAGGAGCTGGAAGTGGATAGAGAAATTCGAAATGCCGCACGGCGTCCCAATAACAGAAATTACTCCAGAGGTGGCAGATCTGGTGGGCGAGACGTCTTTTAGCGTAGAAGAAGACCTTTTGTTTATGCCTTAGCTTTTGTTACCACCTTTTTTAGGTTGTAAATTATTCTAGGTACGAGAAAAATGCCGTGTGACTTTTAACATGAAATAAACGCCGTTAAATACGGTAAGTATGTAGAATACACTAAATTTCTGGTTTAGTGTATTTAGTGGAATTTTGAATAAGTGGATTATGTCTGAAAAAGTGTTTAGTGTTGAACTTTAGATTTTTTTAGACTAAGCCATGTATATATCAGCCTATTCCAGGGTTATTTGTACAGTCTTAAGAGAATTACTGTTTTTAACCATTTGTATAATATTGGAGCCAAAAAATATAGGGCTTAATATTAAAAATTGTTGCACCACTAAAGATATATTAAAAATAAAGAATTTGGATAAAAAATTTTTGTTGACCATTTTGACTTTCGAAATAATGCAAATTTTTTGAAAATTCATGAAACTAGGAAATTTAAGTCTATCAAAAATGTGTTTCGTCGAAAATATTTGTACCGGATATTGCCTCGTGGAAATTCGAAACTCGAGTTGTTTTTCAATTGTGAAAATTATTGGCTTAATTAGTTTTGGTCAAGAATTCAATAATCGAAGAGCTCTAAAATATGCATAAAAAAACCATGTCGGGACATCATTCACGATCAAAATTAACACTATATTTCAGGGTACATTGAAAACCACTGTACAATGTGTCCCAAATTATTATGTTTTACAGGTTATACTAAAAACTAGATGGGATAGAATAAAAGTAGATAAGATTTCATGACTTCTTTTTTCGTTAAAGTAACGATTTCCTAATCAAATCATTAATCGCTCCCCACATTAGCGAGATACAAGACCATTATTGAAAAATGTCGAAAACGACAGGGTTAAATATCTTCTTTATTAACCCGCGATAGGTACCGCTTATGAATCTCCCGCCTTAGGTACCGTATTAGATTTTATCTAACATAATAATGTTGTTCCCTTTTTTAAGGTAGTTGTACTTGGCAGTATTTTTCATAGCTTACATTGTTATTTTATTTATGTATTTAATGTAATATTTATTGGAAAATTAAACGACTGGTATGATGACATATAATTTAGTATGTAGTATGTAGTAACTATTACAAATGACAAATTTATGCAATTTTTTTAACGATTTTATTAAAGAACTGTTTACAACCAAAAAAATGACAACAAAAAATAACAAGTTATTAATTTAGGAATCTTCTCGGTTAATACAGTCAGCTCAAGTCAAAACTGTTTCTGTAATATGATCTTTACATACCGATTTCAAACATGTATGACATCGATGCTGAGTAAATCTGTTTTTTTTTCTTCGGGCAAAAGTTTCACATTCTTATCATTTAGTTCGGCAACATCAGCTGGAATGGCTTTATTTCCTAGAATATTTCTAATTTTTTGCCTTAGTGGAATTGACAGTGATGTAATACTTGGTCGACGAACAATATGGGGCTTCGTAAGTTGGTTAGCAAGATCTGTCAGATATATTCTTCGTTTGAGCTTTGTGTTCGTATTGCTATAGTAAACAATTTGTGAATGTATGCCAGCAATATTGAGTAAAGAACAAAAAACAATTAAAGGCCAACGGTTGCTCACTCTTGTAGTCGAATATTCTACCTTCATCTTGTCCACCCCATCAACAGCTCCTTTTGTTAGATTATAGAATGTTATGACTGAAAATTTCATTGCATCGCCACTTTCTGGATCAATTTTATCATCTTTGTGAAACGTCGACACCATCAGCATACTTCACAGGTTTTGGTACATATGAGGTAAGAACGCATTTATTGGGATCGACTCCCCAAGCAAACATGCTGCTGTTTCTTTTTCGTAATTTAGTATCAAAAAAATTAGGGGGACCTATCGCTTGTTCTTACGTAATGTGCCAACTAACGTTATACGGTGGTTGTAGACCAAGTCATTAGCCAAAGATACAGATGTAAAGTAACTGTCCATAGTTACATTTCGTCCAGTACAAATGTAATATCTTAAAAGTCTTGTTACAACACTATGGACATAGTTCATTAGTTCATATGGACCAGTTGGTTCTTTACCTCCATAAATTTCAATGTTATGTGTATAAAGCATTCGAGAGTCTACAACAGCGTAGATTTTATGCCATATTTCGCAGATTTATTTGCAATATACTGGCGGAACTTGCATTTCCCTCTGAAACCCTCAAGCATCTCATCCACTGTTATGTAACTACCCACCGAGTAATGTTTTAAACACTTTCCAACAAAGTTATCCAGAACGTATCGCACAGGTGCCAAATGATCTTCTTGGACTCTTTTTACTCTAGATTCAATATCATCAAACCTAATAGCTTGTACCAAAGAGTGAAAACGGCGTTCCGACATAGTAGCAGCGAAGTATTCTGGGGCGGTTCCGTCCGTGCTCCAAAGTTCTGAAGTATTTAAATGTTGGGCTCGTTTTACACCATCAAGATATAAAAGCCCGACAAATGCACGCATTTCGTCAAAATCTTAAGGACTGTTAATGTTTTGCGTTTCTGATGAGTCTAATTTTTTGAAGTTACTCGTTGGTACAATCTGTAATATATTGAATGATTTCATCCGAGAAAAATAGTTTCCAACAATCCAATACTGCTTTGGCTTCTTTTGCAACGCCTTTTACACATGGTATCTTGTAACAATATTTTGAGGGCTAGTGTTTCCAACTTTGTTTTGATTTTGGTGCACTAACCATTTAGTACCATCTTTACCAGTATAATAGGGACCACTTCTTTCAGATCTTCATAAAATTGATTGTGTAGAGGCAGGGCCTTGTACATTCTTTTTATCTATTTCGTCACTTGAGAAAGCGGCCTCTGAAACATCTGTGTCCGATTGATCGACTTCATCTTGTTTCATATCATCTTCTATAGCCTCCCAAAGGGCTAGGAACCGTTGCTGTTCCCTCTCGTACGCCATCACAAACAACAATAAAGTCCAAATTTAGTCTAGCTCACAAAAAATATATTAATGTAATTCACAATTCGTAACTACGTAATCAGTACTGCGTTAGATTTTTACTAACATCGCGACACTGACAACTTTCATAGCGCACTGAACAGATTCTTGTTGATTTCAATTTCAATCTAAATTAAACATGGGAGTGACTAGAGAAAACATCGAGTTGGGTATAGCTGGCCGGAGATAAATATACGAGGCGCGAAAGAAAAGAAATACAAAAAAAATTAAAAATGTTAGATAAATTCTAACAGCAGTACTGATCGCAGGATAAGAAAATTTTTTAAAACTTTTGATAGATTTGTTATGGAAGCGTTCAGTGGCTTACAAGAATTTTTTTAGTGGATCTTACTAAGGAAATATGTTTCGTTTGCATTTTTAAAAACATAAAAACAACAATAATACACAAAGGAACAACTAGAATTTATTTTACAAAAATTTAAAAATTATAATAAATATTCAGAATTAAAAATGTTAAAATGTATAGGGTGTCCCATATAAAAAACATAAGTTGGTATTATATTTCTTTAGTGAGACCCCTAAAAAAATCGTACGCTACTGAACGTTTCCATAATATTTCTATCAAAAGTTCTAATCAAATTTTAAAAATTTTACTTAAGAAGATATTTAACCCTGTCGTTTTCGACATTTTTCAATAATCGCCCTGTATCTTAGTACTGTGAGAAATTCTGATTTACAGAAGATGATTTGATTAAGTAAATGTTACTTTAACGAAAAAAGAAGTTATGACATCTTAACTACTTTTTTTCTATCTCCTCTAGTTTTTGGTATACCCTGTAAAACATATCAATTTGGGACATCTCATTTCTGGGGGCATCTCATTTCTGCCGCCTATAAATCGGTAGGGAAGTACATATTGAGGGAGAGTGGGGCAAAGTGGCACCTGTAACTTTTTTTAGGCTATAAATAACAAAAAAACGAAATAATTTACCCCAGTTTAATCAAACAATAAGAGGGGTATATCTGAACATATTTCTTTGAAACAATTATATCTCAGTATGCAGTTAAATTTAATATTATTGTTCAAAAGCTCTAAAGGGACCGTTTTACACCATGGTTAAGGTAAAATGACCCCATCCATGAAGTTAAATGGTCTCTATAGTTCATTTGTACAGAAAGAGCAATAAAACATTTCTATTTACAAAAATCGCAAATATACAAGTTTTGCTTTTTACTTACAGCCGCACACAATAAATGAGACCATTTGTTGCACAAATTACAGTTATTGCACACTTCCTTCGCTTGCGATTTACTGAATAATTCCGAGTAATATACAGGCGGCGTCATCTTCATCATGATCAAATCTCTTATTTTTTTTATTTTTTCTAAACACCTTTCTGCTTACAGATTTTCTAACTGCTTGTGAAGTGGCTTTATTGTTTTTTTTTCTTTCATCACAAAATAAAAAAATTATTTTCTTTCATCACAAAATACAAAAAAAAACAGTTGATTCTCTTTGTCTGGGGAGGTGCCTGATGTAGTGGAGTTACAAAAGGATACGCCAGTGATGATGGAATTTCATTATTTTTAACCCACCGCCACCTTTCTGTTCTAAAGGGCTTTTGCCACCCAATTCTGTAAATTGCAGAGCTCATAATATCAACTTAAAGTGGTTATGGTTTGAAGCAAAAACTTCCGCATTTTGAACTGTAGTGTAAAAAATTTCATTTTTCCCCCAAGGTAATCCCCCAAGCTGTTTTCAAAAAGGTTGATATATTTTTATTTGCTTTAAAGTTAAAGCACTGGGAAGCGAAGAACTATCTCTTTGTGGAAAAGTTCATTGTTCATGGATGAAATCAACGGTTTCATTTTCCAATATAGGTCGATCGGGTGTACACGATGATTCAAATGACGATGCCTGTTGTCTTGAATCTATGGAGTCCGTTTTTAGGTGTGGCAACTCCTCGATACGCATTTCCAAACAAGCTAGTTATGTTATATACTGTTACGACTTTTCTAGGGTTTATTTTAAGCTATAAAATAACTTGCTCATTAAAATACGCCATTGAAGGTGAAAATATTGCCACATCCAATGGCGGTATCTCACTTTCCACGTGCCATTTTCTATAGCTTCAGGCAAACTTGCGGCTTGAATGACCATCCAGCAATGATAGGACCTTATTTTCAACTGAGCACTGTGTAACTTATTAAAAATGCTTTAAGAATCGAATGAAGGTGTCAGATTGCGCAGGTGTTCCACATGCGTTGAAATAATAATCCATTCCTTCTTCTGTGAGCGCTTGTTTGAAAATCAACCTGTTTAAGCCGTTTATGTGCTAAAATTTTGAGTCGCTTGCTAGGGATTGTCTGCATACCAGACTCATCCATATTTTCGGATATTCTCATAGGATTGATGTTATTTTGTGAATGCCATTAAAATATTTTACAAGGCAAGTCGTATTGAATTTGAATTCCATTTCGTCAACACTAGGGGTTGACATCTTCTGGAGATGTTACTGCTTCGCTTGTAAGCTGAAATTGACATTTTGGTAGACTTAGCAAGAGTAAAATGGTCCTCGACATGGAAGGATCATTTTACTTAAAAATCTATACCAATATAAAAACGAATTTACATGAGTGATTCCTGATAATTAGGGAAATTGCAACAGGCATGAAATGTACAGAAACAATACTTGTTTACACTCCATAAAAAATTTGACTTACTTTAATTAAAAGCCTAAAAACACAACTTTTGTGACCACGAAATTAGCAATATTATCTACATGTGTTTTTAGGTTATAGGTTTAGATTATATTAAAACCAGCCTATTATGCTTCGCACATCTTCACAACTACTTCGCATGTAGGAGGCGTTAGTAGTACTTAATGAAATAAAGAAAGCTAACCAGTTGTTTTATGAAAATAATGAAAAATATGTTTTCTCGAAAAAAATTCTCTGAAAAAAATTTTACTTGACTTCCATAGTAGAATTGATTAAATCGTCGCTGTGCAGGAGATTTTTTCTCCTGTTATATTTCGTAGTGTCAACTTTGACTGTGACTAATGTCCCAACATACGGAACGATAAGAAAGAATAATAAAATATTGGCAATAACTTATAAACCAATTAATA